TATATATATATATAAATAATGCATTTGACTCCTGATTTGATAAGCTTTTTAATGGTAAATCTTATGTTTCTAGTAGAAACCTCTATATCTTATATTGATACTCTAGTTTTTTGTCTCCCTTGAATTGCCTTGTTCTTTGTACTTTTCCTTTCAATGCACCCTATTCGTCTCTTTTAGCATCATTTTGCCTTTAGGGCTCGATTATTCAGGTATTGTAATTTTAGACTTATTTATGCCTTTAAAAGTGGACGTTTGGGAGTCCTTTTATGGAATTCATACTTAATTCTATATGATATTGATTATTTTAGGATAAACTCTATGTTGGACGACTTTGTAGAAAAGGAGCAAAAAACAGATGAAAAGAACTTAAATGTGCATATTATGGAAGCTGAGGGACCAAAGTGGCAAGATTGGAATGATGAAGAACTTCTTATGCAATTTAGAAGGAATGTGAGCTGCATGGAAAAGTGACAAGGACCAAAGTGGAGAGGATAAAAGAATAACACCTTACGATTGCAAGGCTAGCAAAAACACATGCATTTGCGATCGCATGCAGTTATACAGTGGGATCTGTTGGACATATTGTTGTCAAATGACCTTTCGGGCGATGATGTAAATCGCTTATTAATTATCAGTCGATGATTGCGATATGACTGAGCAATAAATCAATACCAAATTGTAACGATCCGACCCAAGAAGAGATTGGACCATTTGAAGCAACCAATTAAATTGTGTTGCTCATGTGTCATGTTTTTACCTACTTGGATAGCTAGCTAGTTTTGAGGCCCACACTATTGCCCACTTATATGTTATTGGAGCTTGACCCATTACCTAAAACCTAACTTACCATATTTTGTGACTTGGCCCAATATATATTCTTTGGTCTTCAGCCACTTTCGAATACAAGACTTGGTGTCTCTTTTTCTCCTCCCTGTGAGGTCTCTCTCGGCCTCACCACCTTCACCTTTTGCCATTTTCTTTAGTGCATATATCTTGGTGATTTTTCTCCTCTTTGTGGTGTTCTCTGAGTGGGAAAAGGCTTAGCAACCATAGGCGAAACCTTTGTGGTGTTCTTGGATCGTTTGCTTTGGTATTGATTCGGATTTTGGTAAACTGAGCCTGTATATCGCCTTGGTGATTGGTTATTTCTCTCCCTTACAGGATCACATAGTGTTTTTCGACAGAGAAATATTTTATTTCTTTTTTATATTTAACCTTTCCCTGGAAGGTATTTGGCACATGATTTTAACATCATTCAAGAGGCCAAATTGACTGTTATTCATCCCAGGAAATACACAAAATACTTTGTTTTTTCTATTGGAAAATAGAGCGATGACTTTAAAAACAAAGATCAAACTTACCACCCTTAATGTGAATTAAATAGTGTAACGGCAAGTAAATGATTAATAAAATTATCAAAACACCACTAAAGACAATGCCAAGTGAAAGTTAGTCTATTTTTTCTCAAAAATTTGACTATCCGATCAAGTCTGAATATTCTATCAAAATTAACACAAAAGTCACTTTTTCCCCGGTTTTATACTTCACCAATCCCAACACTTTCAAGATTCATGGTTTGGAATTAATGACCTTAAGCAAGGAAAGTTGGATTTATTGAAGACTCCATCAGAGGAATATTCCAAATGAGATAAAATTCATCCTCAATCTTCTCTTTGTAATTTGATTTTTCGGGTGATGAATACTTAATTAATTGTGTATTTTTGTGTTATTAGTATGTTAAACTAAATTCATAGCGTGTGGCATGATAATGTAAACTTTAGTGATATTTTAATTCAAGACTTCTTCTTTTTATTCTTGTTTGTGTTAATGGATTGACGTCAATGTTTAACTTCATGTTTGAATGAATGATTACCCTTCGAAAGTATATGTGACTTGTTTTGTTTTTCGGGAAGTAAGAAGTAGGTTTATTTCACACTTGATAATCAACATAAGGTCCTATAAATAATTGAATACATTTTTATATATTCGAATTAGAAATAGGAATTTTTCAGATTATATGTAGAAAACTGTTTAACTCTATTCATGAGAGATTTGTAAATACTATAGGATTATCGATCATCAATACAAGCGCATAAATTAATTTGAAAAGATAGAAGTTGAGAATTATAACAAATACTAATTATGGAGTTGAATTCCTAGCACATTTTTCCACGCAAGTCTCTTTTCGCTGAATCTTCGTTTGCATTTAAAATAGTATAGAAAACATTTTGCATCCACACCTATTATTTTTGTTCTCAACGAAGTATTTAAATGGCTTAAAAATAAACCTTACGACGTTAATGACAAAAATATCCTAATAAGCTGTTAGCTAATATTTCAGGAATAAATGTGAATTTATTCTAGAGCTGGGCATAGTCCGGTTCGATTCTCCTTAAAATCGAATCGAATAAAAAATTTCGAGTATTTAGTAAGTGGAACTGTTCGATTCTGTTCTGTTCGATTTGGTTCATTTTGGTTCGGTTCCATACCATAATTATATTTTAAATATTTTACAACAACACTACACTAATAAAACTACTAACATATTCAACAATAACTTTTACAAATTAACGAAGTTCAATTAAAAAACATATAAATAACAAGTTGTCCAATAAAATTAATTTACCAACATATACAAATATCAAAAAGTAGATACTAATACTAAAATATTGACGATCCATATCAATAATTCGTTTGTTTCAGCCTCCAAGTCTACATTAAAAAAAATAAAATTTCTTGAATTAGAAGTCATAGAGAAAAAATATTTTTATGTATTACTAATACTTACCAGCTATTTGGTTTAATCATCAATTGGGCCAAAAAATTGGATTTAGAAATTGGTGGGGTTGGGTCAAGCTAGCTAGGCTAGGGATTGGGAGAATGAATATCAATCAATCACCTAATTAGTTAATTTGTTTAGAAAAAAATAAAATAATTTGACTTATTCAATAAAAAGAATTAGGAAGATTCCGTTCTTGGTTTAGAATCAAGAACCGAACCGTACTCATCAGTTTTCGATTCAGATATTCGTTCGAGTATTTGATTTGAGAAAAACCGTCGGGTTCGATTCGATTGAGGAGTTTTACCCAACCCTAATTTATTCATGGAAACCATGCAGGCAGCACCTATATGGTGCAGTTTTTGCCCATATTCAGACCAAAATCAATGAATTTTTTTGTCAAGTATTGTTCTCTAAAAATTCTGTCTAACGTTTTCTGTACATGTATCATAATTGAATAAATGTAACATTCATGAACTTTCTCCATCTTGCCCTTTCTTTTACAAGCTCACGTAATGTGCACTTTTTTTTTTTTTTTGTTAATTAACACGGGCTTCAACTTTCAAGTCCTCATGTCCACCACAGTATGCGGTATAAAATAATTTTATTTATTTATTTATTTATTATCTTTTATATCAATAATGCAATCAACAATTCATTGACTCATTATGGGAAAAAGTTTTAAGTAAATATGTCTGGGTCAAATGAATCAAATAATTAAAATTATACTATAGTTTATTACTTTATTCCACATGATACGTTTGAAAATTCACAGATTTAGATTTCAGCAGAAAAACTAGGCAACTTACTTATCTTAAATCACATGCATCCAAAAGTTTGCCTCTTGCCAGCTAAAATCCTTATGTTGCACATAGTTACCTTATTATATATGTTAACATCAATTTGAAAACTTAACCCTTTTCTTCCCTATAAAAACCCATTTCTTGCAACTAAATCATCCATTCCAAATCCCTTAATCTTAAACAGAATCAGCAGCTACGAGTTGTCAAGATTAGGGCATTTGAAAAATGGCTGCCAATAGTAAAACATCAGTTGTCCTCTTCCTAGTCCTAAATATTCTCTTCTTCACTCTTACTAGTGCATGTGGCACTTGCCAACCAAAGCCTAAACCAAACCCGAAGCCGAGCCCCAGCCCCGGAAGGGGCACTTGCCCTAGGGATGCCTTAAAATTAGGGGTATGCGCTAATCTTCTAGGTGGATTGCTTGGTGTTACCATTGGGACACCACCAAAAACTCCATGCTGCTCCCTTATTCAAGGCCTTGTCGACCTGGAGGCGGCGGTCTGCCTTTGCACTGCCATTAAAGCCAATGTTTTGGGCATTAACCTCAATGTTCCTCTTTCCCTTAGCTTGCTTCTTAATGTCTGCTCCAAGAAGGTTCCACCAGGCTTCAAATGTGCCTAGACAACCTAGCTTTTTACTCTTCCGTCCTCAGTCCTATGAGTTTGTTCTTTTAAGATTATTGCATTCTTGTGCTTTGGTATCTTCTGGTTCCCTTTTTAGCAAATAATAAGAAAGAAAACGAAAATAAAATATTGTTCTTGTGTGAGTGATTTTATATCTTCAGAGGCTGTCATTTTAACTGAGGACTGCACTTTGCTTGTATTTTCATATAAAACTTATCCAAATTATATCCATGTTTCATTTTATTATCGAATAATTAGAATCTAAAATCAGAATATATCTCTCTCAAGCTTATTTGGTAGGGGTTAAAATTTTCTCAATTATAAAATTCCACTTACTGCTGGGCCTCTTGCCATACTAATTTCTGTTAGAATTCTTGATGGATAAATATATATACATGTAGCATGATGAAACTTTATAATCTTCGCATACAATGTCTACTTAAAAATCCAAAACAACAAAAAAGAAAAAGAAAAAGAAAAAAAATGCTGGCTTTGAAACCAATCTAAACTCCTGGTTCTCCGACTGATAGATTTAGTCTAAACTCCTGGTTCTTCACTGACAGGAACTCTTTAGTAGAGGAAGAGAAAACTGCAGGAGAAGGAATCCAAGTCCATGCTGTTCTCAAATTTTTTTTTTTTTTTTAATAATAAAGTAGATTTTTTGAGTCCAAGTATCATTCTCATAGAGATTATACTAGTTTAAATTCGAATTAATTTAACATTAACCGAAACTATTGAAATTTGTTTTTTCCCCTATAAATTAAGCAATCTAATTCTAAATGCAAGACTTGACTTAATTAAAATAAATTTAATGTTATAATTAAATGCAAGTGTTATAAAAATATGATAATAAAAAGCTTACTATGATTTCGAATCTACTTATATCGATCTCCTTTAACCCAAAATTTATAAAATTGACAATGCGATTCAATTATGAAGATCAATATTCCTAAATTGTTTAACAATATCTCTCCAGTAGAATTAAACTTATTTTTAAATGTGACCCGACTATATTTTTATAACGTATGCAAACATATAAAAATGCATTAATGGATTTGTGAATATTTAAAGATCATGTAAAGTATAGCGGTATATTTCTATTCCATATTGGATTCTACGAGAATGGACACAATACTTAACTTATTTTCCATCTCTAGAGGGTAAAACAAGCTACAAAACTCATAGAACTATTACGCATATAATTGTAGAAAAAATATCTATGTTAATCATTCAATAATTGAATGTTTTAAACATAAAAAATAAATAAAATTTGAAAATTAAAAGTTCATAATAAAAGGTTCATCGAAAATCTGAGTACAAAATAATTTAGTCGAGCATAATATTAGAATTGATCAAAGAAAGGATAAAAGACATCACCAAATATCAACGGAATGTGATTATTTACCGCTCAATTTTGTATTGTCGCCGTCTTATTCCTTCTTCTTTTACTCCTCTGTCTGCGTGTCTTGGTGTATATATAATTCAGCCCCGTTTGCTTGTATATCACATTGCAGCCATCGAGTTTTTCAATTGAATATTACAATTCCAACCTCCATGTTTGACTCCCAAGAAAAACTTCTTTATACATGCATATAAATCATCAATCTGCCTCTGTTTCCTGTGTATATAAAATCAAGGATAAATATATATGTACAAAATATGTTACTTACTCTCACAAACAAACGGCCTCCATGTGAATTAAAAAAATGTCGGCTCGTGGTCCCCACTTCCTATTATGAGTAGTGAGTAAAGAATTTTGTAAAAAAAGTTTGTAAGTGTAGCATGATCCTATAATCAATTTCACTTTCAGCCTCCGTCCTCTTGTATGCGTATCAGCTGGCCACCCTCCTTTGCATATGTATATCAGCAGCAGCCCTCTGCCCCTTTTTTTTTTTCTCTTTCCGTGTTTGCTGTATGTATAATAAAGCAGGCAGCCCCTATATCTCATACCTATGCCGACGCTTTGTATTGTTACTTGAAGAGTCCAATTGCAAATGGACTTTCATCCTTTTCCCAATTGAATTTTAACCCAATTTGACATAAAGGTCCAACTGAAATTGGACTTTCCTGCCATCAGCTTCTTGAATTATAGTTTAATTAGAATTTGTTTCCCGTACAGTTACCTTGGTCAAATGCACATGTAAGGCTGGGCAAATCTCCTGAACCCGAACCGAATCAAACCCGACAATTCTTGTCAAATTAAATACCCGAACAGGTATCTGAATTGAGAACCGACGGGTACGATTCGGTTCTCGGTTCAAGACCAAGAACCGAATTTTTCTAATTTTTTTTATATTGAATAAATCAAATTATTTTAATTTTAATTTTTTCTAAACAAATTAACAATTTCTAAATCCAAATTTTTGGCCCAATAATTTGTTTCATTTTTAATTTTTTAAATTTTGGCCCAATTACCCCTTTTATTGTCTCATTTTTTAGCCCAACAAGATTCAACCCACTAAATAACCCTAAACACCTACACTAAAGTGCATAACGCTGTCTCGACTCTCGCAACCTCGCTGACATTCCAAAACCTATACAATCGTCGATCGATGCTGTAACCTCCGCCAACCGAAATTTTGACCATAGCGATCATTTGAATAAGATAGTCTACGAGTCTCTGACATTTCAAAATCATTGAATGTGTCACTAGTTGCATTTATATAATGTTGTTATAAATATTAAAAAATTTAATTATAGTATAGAACCGAAGGGAATCGAATCGAACGGAACCGAACCTGAATGGTTCCATAATTATATTTGGACCCGACGGTTCCATTTACTAAATACCCGAGAATTTTGGTTCAGTTCGGTTCTAATTTTCGGGTCAGTTCAGTTCTCTTTAGAACCGAATCGAACCGACTCGCGCCCACCCCTATGCTCGTGTAATGTGATGCTTGTCTTCAAGGCATTATTCTTCGTAATTAATGCAATTTAGTCCCTTTGGTCCATTTATTTGTTCAATCCATGTCTTCTTTATTTTAAATCAAGTCCTTCAATTTTCAATATGTGGAATATTATCTCCAAATGTTCATCCAACAGTCAAATTATCCTCTTTCCTTTCCAATTGTTTCAAACGAGTCCATCACTAAGAATAAAATAAAATTAACCCAATTTAAATAGAAACTAATAATTTGACGACATAAAAGTTTATGGCTTACATAAGTGCACAAATTGTACTTATCAAACACCCTCAAACTAAAATATTTGTTCGTCCTCAAACAAAACTTAGGTTGACACATATTACTAATCTAAACAAATCACAAATGAAAGACTCAACTTTGAACTACTTACCATGTGCTTTAAGTTCAAATTTAAGCAACACTTTAGAAAGATCTAAGCAACATCAAAAATAATTTTTTTTACTTATCTAGTGCTCGATTTAGTGAGTGCATGTGTGAGATTAGCCAATATTGAATTCGCAACCATACTAGAACACAACCAATCAAGTGTTGTTGATTCACTCATAGCCCCAATCCTCTTATGGTCAATTTTTCCTCACACCTCTCATGCAAAATCACTCCTTATGCTTTTCTCTCCAGTCCCGAGGTATTTATAGCACATATGGGTTCCTAAGAATTATTATAATGCATTTTCCACAAAAAGTTATCAGAATTAAGTACTTGTAAACCTAGAAGGAAGACTTAATAACTTGAGTCAAAAAGGCTATGAAGAGAAGTAGAAGATGTATAACTTTTTCCTTTGATATGAGAATCTAACTTCTAATTCATTTTTTTAAACATCTTATGTGCAAGACTTATCTCCATTAAGGTTTCTAAATGACTCCTGTAACGAGATTTGGACCGATTACTTCCATGTCTGACTACTATAGGGCACTAGATTTTTAAAGACCCTAGCATGTTTAATCACTCGAATCATAAAAGCTACGAAAAGAAGTAAAAGATGTATGAGATTTGAATTTTAAAAATGGTTAGTGCCCATTTTAGATCATTTAACTCAAACTCCTTCAACTACCGTTGTGATCCGAGAACTCCAACCCATCAAACTTCTATGAACACAAGTACTAACATTTTAACCTCCAAACTGCTTTTTTAGTAGTTTGGTTTCTATATTAAGGATTTGGAGATTTTATTCAAACCGAGGTCAATAACAATTAAATCCACTTAATTAAGTCATGCTTCAACATAAGTGATAAGTCAATATGACTATATTCTCAAATAATCAAATCTAACATGTATAAGTTTTCAAGTAAAAGCACAAGTTATAGTGGTGTCTAGCATTTAACTATATATGTACTCAATTCAAACAAATAAATATCATTATAAGTAGCAAGTCGTTCTAACTAGACATTACTTTGGTTTTTTCATTTTTTTACAGCTATATAGACCGGACCAGCAGTTGAAAGATAAATATGTATTCCAAGTATTCTAATACTTTCCCACCGCAGACAAAAATATTACATTATCCTCAATGTAAAAGCATAAATAATCAATGTAAAAGAATAAGAATCAGAAACTCGTTGGGGGTAGACGCGAATAGGTAAAAAGATGAAGTTGGCTCGACTGGTAGATGTCATGACAACTGTCACTTTTCCTTGTTGTTAAGCTTTAATTTGTAAGAAAATTCTAATCCTCTAACTTTTAGAAAGACTATCTAGCAAAGTGTCATCACTGCAAAAATCTTCTACTTGGGAAAAATATGTCTTTCAAAATAATTTGAAGATTGAAATCTATGTGCAACTTTCAGAATGCATATCACAATATTGTAAGCTCAATAAAATGCTAGGATGTTGACAACAAGCCTAAATAAAATAAACATGCCTAAGTTACTAATGCAAGTCGTAAAATATCACCTAAGATGTGTTAAAAATAAATCATTTAAATGCATGAATTCCTAAATTAAATGCAATTCCTAAAATTACTTGTAATGCAATAATTAATCAAGACATGAAAAGGGACAGAAAAATGGATCGCCTCTCGTTAAACACTCGATTTATAGTTTAGAGCTCGACTTTTTGGATGATGTCCTTAAGGTGGTTTAAATCGAAATGTTTCGCCCTTACACTCTTTACAATTTTCAACCTTGCATTCTTTTTAGTTC